GAAGGAAGGAAGGAAGGAAGGAAGGAAGGAAGGAAGGAAGGAAGGAATAGCAATAGCAATAGCAATAGCACTTAGACTTATATACCGCTTTACTGCCCTCTCTAAGTGGTTTGCAGAGTCAGCCTCTTGCCCCCAACCATCTGGCTCCTCGTTTTACTCCAAAGGTAATAAACAAGCGAACGAAACTTCCGCCATAGAAAGAATGGCTGCTGGAATACATCTAGTTTAGTGAAGAGAAGAACCAGGGGGGACACGATTTGAGGGAACTTCCAATATTTGAGGGGCTGCCCCAAAGAAGAGGGGATCAAGCTATTCTCCAAAGCACCTGAGAAGGCAGGACAAGAAGCATGGAAGGATGAAAACTCATCAAGGAGAGAAGCAACCTGGAACTAAGGAGGGATTTCCTGATAGTGAGAACAATCCATCTGTGGAATGCATTGCCTCCAGAAACGATGGACACTCGATCACTGGAAGTTTTTTAAGAAGAGCTTGGACATCGATGTGTATCTGAAATAATTTCCTGCTTGAACAGGGTGTTGGATTAGATTAGAAGATCTCCCAGGTCTCTCCCAATCCTGTTATTCTGTTATTCATTCCACAAGCTTTCCCCAGATCCAGCGGGAAGCAAACCATATTAGCCATATCTGTGCTTCCTTCTTGTCCTTTCCTACTCAAGTCTTATTTTTTAAAGAAAATTTATTTAACATTTATGCAATTAAAAACAAACAAACACACACACCTATATATACATATATACATTTTACAGCATTTACTGAGCATTTGTTTTTTTCTTATCACTGACGCGTTTTACCTTATTACAATAACTCTTTCGTCCTTTTAATGTTTTTAATTCTCTATACACTTTATAATTAGTCACATGTCTCCTTTATTTTCACTACCTTTTTGTCCAATGATCAGATATTACCTTTTCTTTTAACCAATCCTAGCAGATGTTCCATCCTTTGTAATAATCGCTGTCTTGATTATTTTTTTAATAATTTGGTCAGACTATCCATCTCAGCACACTCGTGTATTTTTTTCAATTACCACATCTTCTGGGGGAATGGTGGGAGATTTCCAGTTCTGGGCAAAGCTTATTCTGGCTGCGGTTATATCCCCAGATCCAGCGGGAAGCAAACCGTATTAGCCATATCTGTGCTTCTTTCTTGTCCTTTCCCGCTTGGTCTTAATGGAGTGGCTTCCTCTGCCCTAATCCCTTTGCCTTCTCTCTTTGCCTTCTCTCTTTCGGACGCTTCAGGTACAAGCACACCTCCAGGGATCAGCACAGCTCCAGTCCCCAGCATAGCTACCCCCATTGGCGTCAATGGGTTCAGCCCTCTCCCACCACAGACTAACGGGCAGCCAGCATCGGAAACCATTTATACCAATGGGATCCATCCGTACCCAGGTAAGATTCTGGACCAGGTAAGAGCCATCCGTGGGGACGGTGATGGGTGTATATCCACCTGGGCTAAAGCAAGGAAGAAATAGCTTCTCTCCCAGCCCTGCGAGTCGGTTGAACTACTGGTACTGTGGACTGTAAAGAAGGTGGGGTGCTGAGAGTTCAGGCTAAGATTCTGTGCAGTTTGGAGAACCCCCAAATCCCACTCCTGGCTGGCCCCACCCAACCACCTCATCCCTCCCAGGAGTCCCCATGGGGCCCGTTTTGGATGCAGGTAAGTGCAGGGTGTGCATGGAGGCTCCGAGAGGCCAAAAAAAAAAACAAAAAAAAAAACAGGCCTCCCATAAGTTCACGAAGGCCAGAAATGAGCCCATTTCCGGCTTCCAGAGAGCCTTCGGAGCCCGGGGAGGCTGTTTTCTCCCTCTGGGAGGCTCAATAAAAGCCTCCGGAGTCTGGGGAGGGCAAACATGCCCAGCCACCATGGTGCAGGAAGCCGATTAGGCCACACCCACCATGGCCATGCCCACCCAGCAACCGGGCAGAGAACCCTTTGCTAAAATTTTTGAAGGCCACCCCTGACGGGGGCCCTGGGATTTCTCTAATTGTGCAGGCGAGATGAATCGCAATCTTCTTAGACAGGAGCTCCACTGTCCCTCCAGATGTGGCTAAAAGCCACATCCCACTTGCCTGACCTGGGAAAGGGGTGGGAAAGGAGGGTGGGAGTTGCCACCCCATCTAGAGTGCCACAGGTTGCTCTGCCAGGTGCGGGAAAACAAAAAATATAGGCTATTGATCTATCAGATTCAATAAGGCCTGTGGGGGATAGTCGGCTCCAGAATAAATAGACATGAACCAAAGTTTTAGGTAGGATGATTTTAAAATGTACCAGAACGATTGGTAATCCTGCTGAGCTGTTGCTAATTGTGAAACGTGGTTTTGCAAAGTATGTAGCTTGATAAATATATTTGGACATAGAAAGACGAAACCACCACGAGAAATAAGGAACTGAAAGTAGACGATGGATAGAGGTTTGAGATGTACCCGGGTATATGTGGAGACTGTCTCAGGGGTGGGATTCTACTAGTTCGCACCTATTCGCTAGAACCGGTTGTTAACATTCTAAGCAGTTCGGAGAACCGGTCGTTAGAAGAAATTACTGGCCTAATCCTGTAAGGAAGGCAGGAAGGAAACATTCTGGTGTTGCTTACAGACACTGCCTCTCCATTAATCCTTATTACATTCTTGGCAGGACTAGACTTCCTGTCTCAGGAACTTCTCTGGAGTTTTTTTCCCCCTCCTTTGCTGGTACTTTGCTTGTGTGGAGTGACCATTCAAAGTTACAGTGGCACTGAAAAAAGTGACTTATGACCTTTTTTTCACACTTACGACTGTTGCAGCATCCCCACAGTCACGAGAGGCCAGGCCAGGAGATGCGTGCCTCGATGTGAGTGATATTGAGTTGGCCACGCCCAGCCAATAACATGACCACCAAGCCATGTCCACCCAGTCACATGACCACCAAGCCACACCCACCACCTAAGCCATGCCCACAGAACCGGTTGTTAAAAATTTTGAATCCCACCCCTGGACTGTCTGTCAGTAAGAAAGAACAGAGAAGTAAGTTGTGAAATGCATGCAGAAAAGTACATAAAGAATGTCTTGGGATGAGTTCAGGGCCACTGGCCATAGCTATTCCTGGCTGGACCTAGCTATTGTTTCTGGACCAGTGGTGGTATTCTACCAGTTTGGCCCGGTGCTGCAGAGCCGGTTGTGGTGATGAGCAGTGGAGACAGAACCGGTTCTCTCTGCCGCTCTGTGCCCACCTGGCCTCTCATGCTCACCTTTATCCTCTGCTTTTGAAGCGCAACTGTTTTGCGTGGCACAGCAGAGTGCTACGCAGCAGCTGCTGAAGCAACCGGGAGAGGTGAGATAGAATTCCTCTGTGTGTGTTTGGCATGCACGCTCATGCACAGTGTGTGTGCACGCACAAAAAGCGGGCCCACCAAGCCACGCCGACCGAACTGGTGGTAAAAAGATTTGAATCCCACCACTGCTCTGGACCTCATTGCAATGGTTTATTGGTGTAAGTAATGTTAGGATGGCTATTCATGTTTCAAATTGCTCGTGAAACAAGCCTTTATGGCACAGGGTTTGGCAAGTCAAAGAGGAGGGATCAGCACCCCTCCTGGTAGCTTTGGCCCCTGGTCCCACTGTGCCGACGAGGCCGTCCTCCAGCGGACTCTGCTCACTCTCGTCCTTCTTCCTTCTTTTCTCTTCCCAGCTCAAAGTCCCACCGTGGCAGACCCCTTGCAACAAGCCTATGCAGGCATGCAGCACTATGCAGGTCTCAACATTGCTTTGGCCCTCTGTTCCTTTCCCCCTTCCCCATCCGTCCTCCCCCCCCCTCTTCGTCTCTTCCTACACCTTTCTTGGCTTCTGTCCCTTGGCAACCTTTGTGATGCAAACCGGTGTGTGTGGGGGGGGTGTGGCGGGGGGAAAGGCAATGGGAGACACTGGTTTGATATGCTCGGAGAGCAGGATGAGGTTAAGGATGCGTGTATGGCAAGTACCTTGTCTTACAAACTTAGACCGCACCCAAATAAGAAGGTTCTCCCACAGATAAAGAGGGAAATGATTGTGGATCGTGCCACCAATGAACTTCAGGGTTGGGTTTCCAAGACATTTACGCGGGGGGCGGGGGGGGACACATTTTAAGCAGGAATGAAGTTCCAATAAAGGGAAATGTTTGTGGCTTGGGGTTGAAAAGTGGGATTCTTGGTGTTCTGTGAGCTTGGTTGTTTTCTTTGTAGATGTTTCATGACCCAAATATCCTCAGTGCTAGGGATGAAGTTTCTTGTTGGGCAGAGAAAGGCTGGGTTTACTTTTTCAATTATACGACATTTCCAAGAGTCTTCCATGTGCATTGCGTGTTTCCAGTCTGTGGTGCCTGTTTTTTTAAGGGGTGCCGTGTCTCTTTCTCCCTCACTCCCTGGAACAACCAAGTGACTGTACAGCTTGGCAGGTCTCTTTGATCCCTTTAGTGGTCCAGCAAATTGTTCTTTGCATTTTTACCCTGGTCAGCTGGATGGGGCTGTTGGATGGAGGACTGAGAAGAAGGAAAAGGGCTAGAGATAGCAATAGCACTTAGCAATAGCCCTTAGACTTATATACCACTTCACAGGGCTTTACAGCCCCTCTCTAAGCGGTTTACAGAGTCAGCCTCTTGCCCCCAACAATCTGGGTCCTCATTTTACCCACCTTGGAAGGATGGAAGGCTGAGTCAACCTTGAGCCGGTGAGAATTGAACTCACAGCAGTGGGCAGAGTTAGCCTGCAATATTGCATTCTAACCACTGAGAAAGAAGGAAGGAAGGAAGGCAGATAGCAATAGCCCTTAGACTTATATACTGCTTCACAGTGCTTTACAGCCCTCTCTAAGCGGTTTATAGAGTCAGCCTCTTGCCCCCAACAATCTGGGCCCTCATGTTACCGACTTTGGAAGGATGGAAGGCTGAGTCAACCTTGAGCCTGGTGAGATTTGAACTGCCAAATTGCAGTCAGCCGGCAGTCAGCAGAAGTAGCCTGCAATACTGCACTCTAACCACTGTACCACAGAGATCAGATGGTGGAGGCTGTCTACTTTTCAGCAGTTTGAAGACAATGTTCCCTTGTGATTTTCCACCATCCTCTTTCTTGGTGACCCTCCATATCACAGCAGATACCCTGATTGCAAGGGGAGAAATCTCAAGGATTGGAAGAGCTTCTAGTGGTCGGTAGAGAAGAGACCGAGCAAATCCATCAATTCCATGAGACAGACAAATCTCTGCCTCTAAATATAGCTTACTAAGTATGGTCGGACTTTGACACCCATCATCCCCAGCCAGCAGGACCAGTAGAAGTTCAAATCATACTCCAAAACACCAGGAGAGCCCCAGTTTGGGTTTTACTAATCTTACCCAGGATGCTCAGTTTATATAAAATCCAACGTAGTGCAAGTTCTCTGCAGATCAACCAAGCTGTACAGTGGAATCTTCTGTCTTAGAATTCTTTGTATCTGATGTTGCACAGGGCCATAGGTGGGAGGAAGAGTGTGTGTGAGAGAGGGGGGGGGTGGCAAGGGAGAGAGGGAGAGAGGGATGCATGGGTTTTCAGAACTAAGTAGGACCACATACATGGCAGGACACGATCACACTCACATGGTATTCATTGGTTTGGTGTTCCCCTTTCTCCCCATGAAATCCGAGTGTTATGCTTGCTTGGGCCTGATCCTTCTGTTTTTGTGTTCTAGCAGCATATCCAGCCGCCTATGCACCAATCAGCCAAGCCTTCCCACAGCAAACTCCCATTATCCCTCAACAACAGAGAGAAGGTGAGGAGGAATTGAAAGGTTGGGTCTCAGGGAGGAAGGGAGGAACCCCGTTCCACAAGGGATCCACAAGATCCAGGTAGCTTGGCAGAAATGGGAAAGAGACCTGTCTAAAAGTCACTATGTTACCAAAAAGATGTTGAGGCTTTGGGAAAAGCGCCAAGAAGAGCAACAAAGATGATTAAAGGCCTGGAGGCTAAAACACATGAAGAATGCTTGCAGCATTTGGGTTTGGCTAGTCTAGAGAAAAGAAGGACCAGGGGTGACATGATAGCAGTCTTCCAATATTTGAGAGGCTGCCACAGAGAGGAGGAGGATCCATTTATTTTCCAAAGCACCAGAGGACAAGAAACAATGGATGGAAACTAATCAGAGACGGAAGCAACCTGGAATTAAGGAGGGCCTTCCTAACAGGGACGACAATTAACCAGTGGAACAGCTTGCCACCAGAACTTGTGGGTACTTCATGACGGAGGTTTTTAAAGAAAAGACCGGGCAGCCACTTGTCTGAAACTGTAGGGTCTCCGGTTTGAGCATGGGGCTGGACTAGAAGACCTCCAAGGTCCCTCTAAGCTCTATCCTGATTAGGTCTCTCAGTAAAAATAATAGTAAGTGTACAAGAAAAGAGTTAAAATGTATGTAATATTACATTACAGTATTACAGTCTGCCTCTCGGGAGAACAGGCGGTATTGAAAACATTGTAGATTACTATATGCCATATGACTGTTCGCTATTTTAACTAAGGATTCAGTGAATTGAAAATCAATTTCATTTGGAAGGCATCTGAATGGGAAGATTTACATAACCAATCAATGGTGGGGATTAATTACTTTTTAAGTTCATTAACAAAACCCAATGCGTTGAGGATTCAAATGCAACAGCTTACAAAGAAAGTTGTTCAATACTCAGTAGTTGAATGATGTCTACCCTTGGGCCTCTTTTGCTCTTACACAACTTCCTTTCCCTTCTCTTGGTGTACCTATGTTGCCATCCTAGGCCCTGAAGGCTGTAACCTCTTCATTTATCACCTGCCCCAAGAGTTTGGCGATGCAGAACTCATGCAGATGTTCCTACCTTTTGGCAGCGTCATCTCTGCCAAAGTCTTCGTTGATCGTGCCACCAACCAAAGTAAATGCTTTGGTAAGTTCCAACAGACTCCCAAGGTTCCTTTATGAGTTGGTTTTGATTTCAACTTTTAGACAAGCTAGGCCAAAAGCTGAAATATCAGCAAAGGGGTATGCGAGGCTCAAAATGCTGATTAAAGTTGAGTATTCACAGGAGTCAGATCCAGGAAATGGTCCAGTAGAATTTACAGTCCAAGTTACAATTTGGGAGAAGAGACAGATGAACAGATTAAGACCTTGACCTAACCCCAAAGCACTGAGACTTGAATCTAGAAGACATAAGTTACCCTCTGAATTAATTTCCTAAAGAAATAGGCTGGTAATCTCAGCACCATAATTTCATTCAACCTTGTATGAAAATCTTTGGCAAGATAATGACAAAGAATGTCCTGTGAGATTTGGCCAACTTCTAAGATTTCAGCCATTAAAAACTGCAGCCAACAAAGATGTATGAAAGTAATTAATGTTGGAATTCCCTAGAAGCCATCTGGAGCTTGATGGTGATTCCCATGGCTGCTACACAACTTGCAGGCTAGTAGTTTGCTAGAATTTTTGTTGGTTTGTTTATTGTTTTCTTTAAACAGTACTAAATTTCCAGTACCAATGCTGAGATTATCTTCTTCTGAGCCCAGAATTCAAACTGCCGTACTTGAATTCCGGTGGACCTTGATCCAACCAAGCAATCACCAATTGAGAAAATTAATATCCAGCTGCTTGGAGTTAGGTAAAGGTCCATGGAATTCAAGGGTGGTTGGACTTAGTCCTCTTGTGGCCATGTAGAGATTCTAGGCTGATTCCTCTTTTAACTCGACCCTCAAGTTCTACGATTCCTTCTCCTACAATCGTGCAACTTATGGAAAAAAGAGCCAAGGAATGTGCCCACTTTCCTTTTTCTCTTCTAATCCTTCACCCAACCCCATCGCCTTGTCACTCACTTCTTTGGCTGGTGGCTCCTTTCGCAGGTTTCGTCAGTTTTGACAATCCAACTAGTGCCCAGGCAGCCATTCAAGCCATGAACGGCTTCCAGATCGGCATGAAGAGGCTAAAGGTCCAATTAAAGAGGCCAAAAGATGCAAATCGACCCTACTGATCCCTGTTCACCCCGGCTCGGAAAACAGGTAAGGCATTGGCAGGTGATGCTTCGAAGAGCCAGGCAACGCAGCTCAGGAAGATAATAGCAGAGCTCCGCCTTTCCTTCCCAGATAGCAAAGGGGCAGAATGACCATCTTCTAATTATGGGTGTCCATAGCAAACCCGGGAATAATGAAAGCCATGCCATCACCATGCGATGGCTTGACTTACGTTTTTGGGTCAAAGTGCAGCAGGACACATGTACATAAGGGTGGCCCGTTGAGGTCACCAAGGGCAAGTCATTTGGGCCATCATTGCAATTTGCTACAGGGGCCTCAGTTCCCAGGATCCTTTGGGGGAAGTGAAGGCCTGATTGGAAGCTTTGCCCCAAAGAGAAACTAACAAGAGTGGAGAACCATGAAACAGGTGCTCGGCTTAAGGTGGACGAACTCAAAAGAGTTTGGCAGTTTGAGCTAAACTATACCTTGTCAGGGAAATATCTCACTGTGTACTTCATAAGTTAAGTTCACTTAATTTCCTCTTTGCTGGGTTACATAGAAAGAGGAATCCTTTCTAAGTGGGAGCGTGTGAGTGTGTGTTTGTAAAAGGGAGGACGAGAGGATCTGTGCACATGAGTGCAAGTGCCTGTAGAAAGAGAAGAACTTTCTAGGTGAGATCAAAGGTCTATCTACTCCACTTTTCTGTTGACCTAGCAAATGCCACTGGGAAACCCTTCACGAAGAAATCAGTAAGAAAATGTCCTTACTACTATTGATATTCAAGCTCATAACTATCTCCGATATGGTTGGGAATTCAATGCCATCATGATTAATGGTCATCAATCTCTTCTCCTCCATGAATCTCTTCAATGCTTTGAAAATCCATCCAGGTCGATTGCCTTCACCAATTTTATGGGACTGAATTCCATCATTTGATGACCAGTTGGGTAACAAAGTTCTCCCCTTTGTCTTACCTAAGTCTCCAACCATTCAGTTTCACTCAGCTCCTCTGGGTTCAGCTCATATGAGACAGCCTTCAAATGTATATTGGGAGACAAAATTGATTCTTACTCTAGCATAGTTCCTGAATACACTTAACCCAAGGTTGCTCCACCTTGGCAAGTTTAAGACGTGGACTTCAACTCCCGGAATTCCCCAGCCAGCATAGAATTCTGGGCATTGAAGTCCCACATGTCTTAAAACTTGCCAAGGTTGAGAAGTACTTCAGTATGGGAAAGAGGAGAGCAATCACTTCGTTACTCAGGTTATCAATGCTGCAAAGTTAGCACTTATTATAGAGAAATGTTTTGGAATAATTTACTGATGGAAATCATTGTTATCTTTTAATGAATACATGGGGGAATCAGCTTGATATAGATATCCAATTAAGGGGCAACTCTAGAAGATCTTACCCCAAAATTTAGCAAGGTTCCTTGGGTGAGAAATTCCAGAACTGAACTGGAATGCTAAGGACGCCTTCCTGGAAAGACGTGGGTGAGAAATATTTCCACGCTGTTACCAAGAACATAATGGAATACAGGTCATCATCAGGAGAAGCTCAATTTGAGAGAACATTTAGTGCTACTTTTAACGTGCACATAAATGCATGCACACATAATATATGGGCACGGGGACATAGAGACACCTTTTCAGGTTTATGCATTGACAATTTCACTTCCCTCAACTACTCCATTGCTCTGTTTTTCTCCCAAGTGCCCCTTTTCTTGAACCCCACTTATTACTGGATAACCAGGTCAAGCAAAAAAGAGGAGGGTTGAAATCTGATATGGATGCAACTGATTGTAGTTCTGTCAGAAGCCCAGCCTTTAAAATCTTGTCACTACAATTCCCTTTTTACGACCCTACAATCCCTTAATTCGGGGTAGAGTCTGGGTGAATGAATGGATCTGAGCATTTATTGGCCAGATACCCTTTCCTGACACCTACAGGGAAGTTCATAGCAGATATTTTTTCTTTGCGCCCTAGGAAGGAAACATCTGCCTCCACCTAGGGTTGAACTCTCAACCTTCTGAGTGAGAGGCAAGCGTCTTCACCACTAGGCCACCACTCTGCTCACTGTCTTGTCACTATAACAACTTCTTAAATTTCTGAAGGGCCACTGGAAACCCTTCAGTGACGTGGAGATACCACTGACAGAGACTTGTGTCTTCTCTCCCCAGTTCCCACCCCTTCCAATCTACTTTAATCGATAGTAATCTACTCCAGGATATCCAATGGATTGGAAAGAACTTGGTTTGATGAAGTGAAAAGGCTTTCAGATGAAATGGGATAAATGTAGAAAATGATTCCTTGCCAATTCTAGTTATGATCTGGAGAGATGATAGAAGGAAAGGAAAGTCTTTCTTGCTCATCACATCAACGCAGCCCAATAGTTACTACTTACAGCTCAGGGAATCTGGGGGTTCAAAATAGATATATGGGTTCAGACAGCCAGCTTTGGAATTCTTGAGCAGGAGAGAGATCTGTAGAAGAGGGGATACGTAGCTCAAGGATTGATCTCTGGAATCATTGGTGATCTCTGAGCTTGGGCATTTGCTTACAAACTCAGAGAGCACCAAAGTCTGTAGAGAAGATCATTTCTCCTTTGAGTGACTTGCAAACAGGTTCATGATTTTGGTTCCAATCCTACTATAGTCAGGTAAATTTGAGTAGACTTACTAGAGAAGAAGTTCTTCTAAGTTCAGCATTCATTGTCATGGTTTGGAAAATTTTGAATGCCAGTATCACCCAAGCAATTTTTTTAAAGTATAGAGAACAGCATTATTCTTGGTGATCCTCGGATAGGATGAGTCACTGGATGCAAATAAGCAACATGAAAGAAAGCAGTTGTAAAAGTGGAGAGATGTAACCAACCCCTTTATTTGTGGAGTCCTCTCTGGGCTTGGTGGTTTTCTTGCAGACGGTTCATTACCCAACAAGGTAATATCTTTAGTGCACTGATGCTGTTACCTAATAGGATAATGAAATGTCTAAAAGAAAACCACCAAGCTGAGAAAACACCAAGGATGACACAATTCAACCCTGAACTATAAATATTCTATTCAGTTGACAAACCTCGGCTTACTTTAGCCAAGGAAAGCTCACCACAATAGGGGTAAGTAGGAAAGATGCCCAATCAAGAAGGCTTACTAAAAGACCAGTGCTAGATGATGTTAATAGAAGTGTCATATTTATGATTGGAAAAGTACATTTACAACTCAATGTAGAATTCCTCTTGATACTTGACATATGGCCTGCCTGGAATTATATTATTGAATTGAGATGAGCACAGTTTCACTTCTTTCTTTCTTTTTCTTTCTTTCTTTCTTTCTTCTTTCTTTCTCTTTGTTTCTTTCCTTCCTTCCTTCCTTCTTTCCTTCCTTCCTCAGGGAATTGCTTTTTTTAACCACCCCATTTGTATTTCAGTCTGGGACACAGTTCTCCTAAATGCGTCACTTTGTTATCTGCCATAAGGACTTTTTTTGACAATTTATTCCATTTTGAGTTCCATGGTTCCAAACCAAGTTAGGAATTTGAAGAAGAACAAGGAGGAGAGGGGGGAGGGAATGATTCCAAAGTGGAAAAGTGAAAAAATGGTTTGCCAGATTTCTATGGAAAGGAAGTTTTAGAAAAGCAAAGAAATCAACTTATTAGAAGAAATGCCGATCTCTTTTATTGACACGTTATTTTAACTTCTGGGATACATGCTCTGGAATCAAGTATCCTATCTTTTGCTTTCCTAAGATAGCATTTCTGCCTTCAGCTAGAAGATAGGAACTAGGATGTCTACCTCCCCATTGCAAAAAAATGAAACCCAACAAAGAATGCAAGTATATGTGCTCCATACAGATGATATCACTCTGTATTTGCTAATTAATAGGTAGAAATGCAAATTTAATTTGTTCCTACTTGAAACAGAAATACAGGATCATCCATCCTGGAGAGGATGGTCACCAGAAGACCCAAAGGTGTTTTTTTTTTAAAGGCAACTGGACTTTGCTTTTCCTTGTTTCTCTTCTCATCCAAGAAACTTCTTCAGTTCTGAACTGAAGAAGCTTCTTGGATGAGAAGTGAAACATCTTAAAGGAAAACCCAACATCTCCAGTTGCCTCTTGAAAAAGCATCTTTGGGACAACCATGACCTGGATGACTTGAGAAGCTCCATAGACATCTCACCAGAAGACTGTTATAGAGAGGCAACATCTGGTCTCCCCCCTTTTTAAAGCTATGTTTGGACTGAGCCAGTTCCATGAAAGGGATATGGGGTGGACATCTGGGTGGGGGAACTTTAGAAGATAGTTCTAAAGTGGAAGAGGAACCACCAGAAGAAACAATAACAAAACCTGGGAACTCTATCAAACCGATTCATTTTTTTTCCTTTATATTTTTGTTTCCTCCGACCCACCCACTACTGTGTATCTCTAACCAGACCAGGCCAATCATAGCTCCAAGGATGACCCCACAGTTGCCTAGCAACCCTCTAGCTGTTATGGGAGATCCAAACACAAAACTCTCCCTTCCAAATTATCTGAAACTGTAAGTGACTTCACTCATGTTGTCATCGACCTCTCTCCGATGACGCCATGTGGCCAGTTGTAATCTTGTTGCATGAACTTGACGTTGATCTTTCTATATCTCTGCTTTATTTTTTTATTTATTATTATTATTATCAGTTCTTCTTCCCACCCACCCTTTCCTCTTCTCTTCTGGCGGTTGTGCAGTGCCATATTGATGCCCATGATGGATAGTTTTTGGAGTGCTGATTGGTCAGTCTTTTACTAGTTGTGGATTCTTTGAGCCCATAAATTCCACTTTGTCCTCCTTTGTATCTTCTTCTTTTCCTCTCTGTTGTGACGTGACAATGATGTGTGTGCCCTTTGTGTATGATCATGATGGCTGGATAAAACGGTTGGGGTTGACCTAAGAAATCCAGTTGTAGAAGAAATAGCAAGATAGGCTACACATTTCCCTGCCTAGCTTCCCTGTTTTCCTCACACGACTTCCGATGTGTTGGATCTGA